AATGTCCCTTTGAAAAACTGCCAACTCTCCTCAGTTGTTTTTCTCCTCAGTTTTGATTCCCATGGGACCTTACCTATCAGCTCTCTGATCTTACCAAAATCCGCCTTCCTGAAATCCATTGTCTCTATTTTGCTTTCTCCCTTCTACCCTTCCTTAGAATTGTGAACTCTATGATTTCATGGTCACTTTCACCCAAGCTGCCTTCCACTTTCAAATTCTCAACCAGTTCCTCTCTATTTGTTAGGATCAAATCTAGAACAGCTTCCCCCAGTAGCTTTTTCAACCTTCTGAAATAAAAAGTTGTCTCCAATGCAGTCCAAGAACTCATTGGATAGTCTGTGCCCCATTGCGTTATTTTCCCAACATATATCTGGATAGTTGAGGTCCCCCATCACCACCAAATCTTGGGATTTGGATGATATTGTTAGTTGTTAAAAAAAAAGTCTCATCCACTTCTTCCACTTGGGTAGGTGGCCTGTAGTAGACTCCTAGCATGACATTACTCTTGTTTTTAACCTCTTTTAGCCTAACCCAGAGACTCTCGAAATGGAGTAGTGTCTACAGAGGGGAGTTATTCCCAAATAGCTATGCTTGTCAATGTCTACACATAGCTAGTGACGGATGGCAGAACAAGGAGCAATGGTCTCAAGTTACAGTGGGGAAGGTGTAGGCTGGATATTAGGAAAAACTATTTCACTAGGAGGGTGATGAAGTACTGAAATGGGTTATGTAGGGAAGTGGTAGGATCTCCATCTCTAGAGGTTTTTAAGTCTCAGCTTGACAAAGCCCTGGCTGGGTTGATTTAGTTAGGGTTGCTCCTGCTTTGAATAGGGGGCTGGACTTCATGACCTCCTGAGGTCTCGTCCAGCCCTGTGATTCTATGATTCTATAAGTCCATATATATTCAACAGTGATCTTTGACAAAAGATGGTATGAGAGATAAGTGGAGTTTTGGTTTTTGTCTGGTATATTTGAAAGTCCTTTTTAAAGATAAAACCAATTAATGTTTTTCTACGAGTTCCTGTGTTTTTGGAAACTACAGCCTTCTGCAGAGAGTTCTTTTTAAGAACATAGTTTTCTGTTTCTTCATACAGTGAGCAAACAAAAATGTCATTGGCATAAGCCAAAAAATACGTTTTATATTAATCTGGTAATTGTATCAAATTGCAAATTTAGTTGGTACATACTATAAAAATTGATTAAACCTATTTAAATCACTGACTTTGCAAAAGTGTTCCTTTCTAATGGTCAAAACCCACTAGAAATTAGATATACAGCTGGTCTCTTCTCAGTACTCAAAGGGCAACTATGCAGTGGAGCATTTTACTGCATTATATTATTGTGAGTCTGAACAGTTTTTCAAATTCATTATTTTACTCTCTTCTCTTTAAAGCCAGGTGCTAGAAGCAAAATATACATCCAAACTCAAGGTAAGTTTTGAAATATTCTGTAAGGTATGTGCTTGCTTTGAAGTTTGCTACCGAATACCCTTGTAACGCCTACTTATGTACATTTTTCTGGTGATACAAAAGTCTTGCTGAAACAGCCATAGGATGAAAGCCTAGTTCCACTGAAGATAGTTTTGCTGTTAACTTCAGTGGACCAGGATTTCACCTCAGATCCTAGATTTTCACGTGAACTCTTGATTTTGGGTGACTCATGTTTCAGCTGCTCGACATGACACATTCATGGGTTTGACCAAAAGCACAGTGAAGTCAACAAGAGTCTTTCATAGACTTCAATGAACTTTGCATCAAGCTCGTTTTGCCTAATTTTCAGAAAGTGCTAAGTATCCATTCTGGAAAAATAAGGCCCCTTTAACATGCCTCAAGTTGGAGCCACAAAATCAGAGGCTCACAAATTCTATCTATCTATCTATCTATCTATCTATCTATCTATCTATCTATCTATCTATCTATCTATCTATCTATCTATCTATCTTTTTTAAATCTTGGTAGGACAATCAATGCAGGGAATGTGGTGTATGCTGTTTCTAAAGTACTATCTTCATCTATAGTGCCATCTAGGTATATTAATACAAATTAAGATCTAGCTTGGCATTTTAAATGTTGCTTCTTCAGCTTCTGCTCTCATTGCCTAAACTAACCAATTGTAAATTGGAAAAATAAAATATAATTTAATATAATTCATATAATTTGGTAGTGACATCAAAAGATTTGGACATGATATTTTATTCCATGATACTTTGGTATTTGTGTCACAACAATTCAGATGATTTTATCAAGTAAAATCTACATATGAGATGCCCAGGCAACAATGTACAATAATTCCTCATTTAACACTATAGATAAGTTTCAGAAAATGATCGTGGTAAGTGAAAACGTGTTATGCGGTGTCAATTTTACCATTGAAAATTATGGAAAAGGTGGGGGTTGCGTTTCAAGCGGTGGTGTCTGTTGGGACCGGGACATAAGGTTGTGGGAGAAAGGGCACTAGGTTACAGTAGGGAGGGAAGGTGTTTGGTTCTGGGGAAGTGAAGGGGAAGAGAGGGGAAGGGCATTGGGTTTGGAGTATGACCCTGTGATGGGTCTGCTGGGACCCACACTGCGTCCGGCGAGGGGGGAGGTCGCTGGGAAACAGCGTGGTGAGTGGCGAACCCTCCGCCACTTTGTAGGGAGGCAGGGGAAACCCTGCGCAGCCACCGGCAATGGGCCGGCTGGGGAAATCGTGTTATTCCGGGGATGGTCGTGTCATTCAAAAAATGTTCCCTAAAAAAAAAAATCTTGCTATTGCAAAAACATGTTAAGCGGGCACATGTTAAATGAGGAATTACTGTAGTATTAAGAGACCAAGCCAACATTTATGCAAATAGGTCTGACTCTGTGGACTTCCTAGGAGTTGCACCCTCTGATTTCATTTGGCTCAAAGTATAAATACTGGAATCTAAATTGGAACAATGAAATGAAACGTTATAGAAATTCTAGGTGAGGAAATGTAGATGGAAAGGAAAAGCTTGAAATGGGAGCAATTGCAAGTGTGATTTAGAGTATTTGACAAAGACATTATTCACTCAGTGCAAGACTTCTAGACTATAGTTCTACCACCCTGCATCTAATAAATCATGATGTAGTTTTTCCCTTTGAATCCAGGAATTATGACCACACCCAGTGCATCTTTTAATTGGAAGAGATTTCTACAAAATGCAGGTAACATGTAAAACTGCTTTATGCTTCTGAACAAATTGCATGAAGATCATAGTTCACACATGCTTCCTCTTCCTCTAACTATTTTCAGTATATATTCCTGATACGTTTGAATGATTTTCTGTTTTTGCCTCCATTCTGGAGGGGATCTTAGCATATGTAAGTTGATCTGTTATATGATTATTTTTTTTAGTGATTTTAAAAAGGAGGGACTAACAGTGGTAGGTAGAATAATTTAGTTAGAATTCTGTCATTGCTTGTTAATCACAGCAGTGAACTACTCGTGCTATATCTAATCCCATCCTTTAGCTATACTTAAATTTCCAAACATGAAATAGCCATTCTATTCTTAGGTGCAATGAGAGATGGACAAATGTTACCTGGAAATTTATTCATTTCACTCATGACCAAAGAACAGGTACCTGGGCATACTAGTGATACACAAAAAATGTGGTGGAGGCTACTTTGACTTTGACAGAAGGGATGAGTAGGGCATCTGAAACAGCCGTTCAGACTTCCACAATCTAATCAAGTGAGTTTAATCCGTGACTTGGAGAGGTCAGATATCACTCAGTATTTGTACCTATACTCTATATAGACAAGACAGATTGGAGTATTGGGCCAAAAGAAATCTGATGAGGTTCAACAAGGACCAGTGCAGAGTTCTCCATTGTTACAGGCTAGGGACCAACTGGCTAAGCAGCAGTTCAGCAGAAAAAGACCTGGGGGTTACAGTGGCTGAGAAGCTGGATATGAATCAACAGTGTGCCCTGGTAGCCAAGAAGACTAATGGCATATTAGGGGCATTAGGAGGGGCATTGCCATTAGATCTAGAGAAGTGATTATTCCCCTTTATTCGGCTCTGGTGAGGCCACATCTGGAGTATTGCGTCCAGTTCTGGGCTCCCTGCTATAGAAAGAATGTGGAAGCATTGGAGAAGGTCCAGGAGAGGGCAACAAAAATGATTAGGGGCTGGAGCACATGACCTACAAGGAGAGGCTGAGGGATGTGGGCTTATTTAATCCGCAGAAGAGAAGAATGAGGGGGGATTTGATAGTAGCCTTCAGCTACCTGAAGGGAGGTTCCAAAGAGGAAGAAGAGAAACTGTTCTCAATAGTGATGGATGGCAGAATAAGAAGCAATGGTCTCAAGTTACAGTGGGGGAGTGTGACGTAGTGGGGGGTACCTGGCTGGTTTCTATGCTGCTGGCTCTGGGTGTGACGTAGTGGGGGTACTTGCTGGGCTGTGGTGACCTCTGCTGTCCGGAGCAAGACCCAGCAGGGAAAACCTCATTATGCAAAGGTGACTCAAAAACCTGTCTGACCTGCGGCCCCCCATGGGGAGAAACAAAGGGAGGTGGAATGCTGCCCTGGCTGGGGGCAGGGCTGGAAGAGGGGGAGTTAGTTCCTGGCTGGAAGGCAGAGAAGAAGGAGCTGGGGAGGGGGGCTGGGACTCCCCTATCTCAAGGGGGGCACTGAGGCCTCTTAGCCCCAGTTCCTGTAACCAGATTACATCTGTGCTGCGCTGTGCTGGAGGAACAATAACCAACCTCCATTCTACTGGCTGGTGAAGTCTGTTCATGCCATTTCGGGGTGCAGGAGATGGGAAAACCCCGACGCGTCATCACAGGGATGCCTACGCTGAATATTAGGGAAAACTATTTCATGAGGAGGATGGTGAAGTACTGGAATGGGTTGCCTAGAGAGGTGGTGGAATCTCTATCCCTGGAAGTTTTTAAGTCCCGGCTTGACAAAACCCTGCTGGATGATTTAGTTAGAGTTGGTTCTGTTTTGGTCAGGGGGCTGGATTCGATGTCCTCCTGAGGTATCGTCCAACCTAAGAGTCTATGTTTCTATATCAGAGGTTGGCAACCTTTTCAAACCAAAGAGCCAAATTAAACCAAAATTCAGAACGAGTGGTCAAAATGAGCCATAAAAGAGTGCCCATTTGTATGACTCCAAAATGCACAACTTACTATAATTGACATAATTGACATAGTGATTAATAACTGCATAAATGAAACATTGTACTCACAGATTTACTTAATGGGACTTCTGCTGCTACATCTTTTCACACATTTCTTTGAAGTTTACAGCATGACTGGTCAAATCTAGATTCATTCAGGCTGTCTTCTGTCAATCTTTTGGCAGAGGGCGTATGTGGGGGTGCAGGAGTCTGAGTTGGCGAATATGGGGGCTCAGGGCAGGGGGCTTGGGTGTATGATGGACTCAGGCTGAGACCTAGAGGAAGTGCAGGAGTGTTATGACACTGCAGCCAGATGGGGGCTGGATCCCAATTGGGGGCTTTTTGTCCAGGCTTCATTTTTAAATAAACTAAAATATGTTGGGACTTCTGAGAGCCACTGACCCTCAGAAAAATCAGTTGGGGAGACTACACAAGTGAGAAGCAAAAAAAAACATCCCTCCAAAAACCTCTAATCCTTACTGATGTGTCCCCCAACACAGATACCACACTCCGCTGGTGCTCCATGCTCATGGGGGAGGAAGGGAGGGAAAGGGAGGACTGAGGTTCCAGGCCTCAGGCCAGATGAACTCTTCTGGGGTTCCAGAGTTAGTGGATTTTGTGGGCCCCCCATAGGCTCTGGGGTGGGGCCAAAAACGAGAGGTCCAGTGTTCAGGACAGAACAGCCAGTGAGTGGGCTAGGGATGGGGGTTCAGGATCTGGGTGGAAGGTAGGGTGCAGGAATGGGCTGGGCAGGAGGACTGAGGTTCCAGGCCTCAGGCCAGATGAACTCTTCTGGGGTTCCAGAGTTAGTGGATTTTGTGGGCCCCCCATAGGCTCTGGGGTGGGGCCAAAAACGAGAGGTCCAGTGTTCAGGACAGAACAGCCAGTGAGTGGGCTAGGGATGGGGGTTCAGGATCTGGGTGGAAGGTAGGGTGCAGGAATGGGCTGGGAATAGGGTATCTGGCATCAGAGAAGGGTGCAGGAGCAGGATGGGAGTGCAAGGTCACAGGCAAGGGGCAAGGGATGCAAGGTCTGGGCCAGGAGTGGGCAAAGGGGATGCCCTGCCATTCCCCCACCCCCTAGCCAATCAGGGTCAGCGTGAGAGGGAGTACGGAAGTGTCTTGAACCCGCCCATTCTGCAAGAGGCCCTGTCCCTTCTGTGGTGGTTTACGGCCATTTCAAAAATTAGTGAAGTGGCCACGGGCCACTTGTCTAAAATTATTGCCCACCCCTGGTCTGGGTGGCACTTACTTTTTTCCCCCAGTGTCTGTAATAGGGTTTATTCATTGAAACAGATACAAGTCACTCCCACGTGTCAGCTATCCACTGCGCCACATGGGTTATGGCATAAGTTAGCATCCCAAGGGCCCAGTGTGGAATGGAAGCCACACCTTGCCAGGAGTGCAGGGAATCTGGCTGGTGGGTCTGGGCATGGATGGGAACTGGCTGTGCTTTTTGTATCTCTCCAGGCTGGCCAGGATCCAGCCCACTGGCATCAGAAAGAAGGTGCTCAGGCCTGTGACAGACTTCAGCTGCCCCCATGGGGTTCTCCAGCAGGTGTGAGTGCATGGCGCACATGGGTGGTACAAGGCAGGGGTGGAGCAGTGCACGGAGCAGTGTGCACATGGCCATGGCAGCAGTGTTTCCTTTGTGAGCAAGATGGTGGCTGGATCTGCTTTTTGCACCTCATGCTGTTCTAAGGTTCCCTGTCCCAGGTATGAGTTCCTGCTGCTCCATTTGCCAGATTTTGGCCAATGGAACAATGGGAAAAGCCTCAAGGCAGCGCACGTGTTCTGCAGCTGGGGTAAAGGAAGGGGGAGGAGGAGCACGCTCTGGCTCTGTCTTCTTCCCCAATCATACAGCAAATCTTGGGGCTTTCTCCACCTCTCCCTCCCCCAAAAAGCCAGCACTGGCTCCAATCTTGCTGGTATGCGAGGCTGGATTATGGTTGGAGTGCATGGGGGCTGAGCTTGAGCTGCGAGTCATATTTGGCTTCTAAGTGTGCCATATGTGTCTTGTGAGCCATACATTGCGTACCACTGCTCTATATGGCCTCACCATGAAGACTATCCTAAAAAATGAGAAACACGCTTCGACTTCTGGACAGGTATTATGCTGCCACTGAACTATTTGGCAACTCTTTTACAGTGATAATTTATATATATCAGTCTGGGCTGAAACTTAGTTTCAAAGCAGGAGAAAATTTTGGAAAAGAACAGATTTGTTTTATTAATAAGTCTTTTAAATAGATAATTAAGGTATTTCAGTGAGAACAGGATGACACTCCTAGCACTGCATCTAGAGTTCATAGACATCAAGAATAATCATCATGTTATTAGAAATGGTTGAAAAATTTCAGAGTGAACTTTGTCAAAAATATTTTGTGAGATTGATTAGATTTCTATGAACTTTGCATGGATCCCAGTTTGACAGCAAGAGTCCGGTCAGCTTCACTCCTGGTATGACATTTGTTCTGATGTGGGATGGAAAGTCTTCCAGAATCTCAAAAATTTTCCTGGGATGGAAAAACTGATTTTCCACTAATCTCTAGTTATTGTTATTAAATATTTAATCGGGTACCCTGACGGACTTAGTCAAAATGTTTAGATGCATTTTTGAATTGCCCATTGAGTCTGTTGGTTAAAATGCCCATTAATAAATTTAGAATTAATATGCCTACTTTACATTTAAAATACTGGGGCATAATGATGCCTTTGAGTACTTACTCACTTGAACAGTAAGTATAAATACTTTAAAAATTATAGCTCCTCTAACCTGAAAATTGGAAAGTTGATATTTTTCCTTTTCAGATTGAAACACAAATCATTTTCTGGGCTCAGAGCACCTTTGCCGGTTTTCAGCCAAGAACAGCAAAACCTTGCTGACTTACTTATTTGAATACAAAATAAATACATACATGGAAGCAGACTGGATTCAGCAAAGGATTTTTGTCCAATTCTGGGGGGCATGGATGGGAATCAGAAATGCAGAATGACTTGTGGCGAATGAGAGTTCTTAGGTGATAAATCTGAGAAATT